CCTTCCCCCACCACCCTCGGCCCAAAGCCTTCCCTCTGGTGACCCACAGCCTGAACGAGGCCCGTGGAAGTGCTGGGTGCCACCCGACAGCCCTGACCCCCAAGCAGAGAAGTAGGTGTCGGAGGACTGGGGTCCTTTTACTGCTCTAGCTCAGACGGCCGGAGGGGCTGACCGCCGGCCCGCTGGGCCTCCCCATCTTCCCGAGCTGCCTGACCCCGACTCCCAAGCGGCCCTGCAGCGTGCTCAGTGGCAGGATGGGCATGGTAGAGTCAAGGAGCACAGGCTCCCATCCCGAGCTCCCCCGACAAACGTACTGAGCCCGGACACCGGCTCGCCGGCCTGGGGCTGCCCCCGAGAGCCCCACAGAAAGGCTGGCTCACTGGGTATGAGCCCCTGGGCTGCGTCCTCAGCGGGCTCAGATCCCTTTCCTTGGCCTGGGGAGGCTCATTGTAAAAGAAAAGGGACAATAGCTCCCTCCCTGGCTGAGGCGAGAGTTCAGACCGAGGAGCAGAAGGGGCCTGAGCTGTGGATCGTGCCCCTCGCCCCTCCCCCTCCAAAGACGGCACTCAGAGGAAGCGAGCGACTGGCCCTTAGGGTCCCCCAGCTCTTCCTGCCCCTCCGATGTCCCCCCCACGCCTATTTCGGGTGTCACGCTGTTTATAACGAGCTCGCTGAAGCCGGGCACTCGAGCCAGGCCAGCAGGAAACTGGAAAGAACGTGGGAGGTCGCCGGAACGCTCTGGTAAAGAAGTTATTGCTAGTCAACACTCCGACCAAAATAAGTGAATCCGACAACAACGTGATTAAGATGTTGATGCTCAAAGGAAGTGTTGTTGCCGCCGCCCCCGGAAACTCCATACGAGGCGTTTGATGAGCGCGTTTAACCTCTGCTCGGGTCTTGTTTTTGAGACCGTGCCTCGGCCCCAGCTTCGGGGTCCATCCCTCCACCCGCGTGCGGAGGGTCGAATTCTGATCCTGTCACGTGAAAGTGACATTAGCATCCCCGCCAGACATCTCTCTCACACACAGGCACACACCCCCCCGATGCACTCAGTTGCAGCTCAAGGAAGAATCGGTAGGATTGAAACTTTGTTTTCTATTTTGAAGTTTAGAAACATGGAAGCTGGAGCCTGAGGGAATTCCCTCCGAACATCCTGCCATGATGCTCCAACAAGAACCCGGATGTGGGTCCCAAATTACATTATTCTACCAAAAACTCCAAAGCCTGGAATTCTACAAGCCACGGGCAGGATGCAGGACTTCCAAGAATATAACCGGGGTCTCTCTTATTTTTTTCCTTCTTTTGCAGGCAGTGTCTCGCTGGTGACTTATTACAGCCTGCTACATCCCAAGTCCACAGACATCAGGCAGGGCTTTGCGAGAAAGTCCTGTGGCATCGCAGGGGGCGACAAAGCAGAGAGAGATTCGTCTCCCCCGGGCCCTGCCCTGGCTGGGGAGAGTCTGGAGAGCCCAAGCATGTGCCAAGAAGAAGGTTCTGAGCTAACAAGTCTGGGGGAGCCCCCCAGCCTGCAGTGGGGCCCCCCAGAGGCTGGGCTGGAAAGCCAGATTGCCGAGGAGGACCCTTTCTTCAGCCACCACCACTGGCTGTTGGTGAAACTTGCCCTCAAAACGGGAAATGTGTCTAAGATCAGCGCGGTCTTTGGAGGAGACCACCCTGGCTGCGTTCGCCCCCCTGCATGGCGGGTGAGCCCCCATGACGACCAGCAGAGGAAGCCCGCATTTTCCCAGCAAGAGCCCCCGCCGTCACCCCATGACTCCCTAGCCTCAGAGAAAGGCTCTGAGTTTCAAAGCGTCTTGAAAGCAGAAGCCGACCTGTCAGAAAGCTCGAGTTATGTCTCTTTTGCCAGCGATAACTATGACAAAGCTCCTGTCCCAAAGCCTTGGGCTCTGCAGCGGGAGGGCAGCCCAGACGAAGGAGCAGGGGCTGTTTCTGGGGTGCAAGAAAGAGGTGCAGGTGGGCAGCTGAGCGGAGGGGAGGGACAGGGGGACTCCACGCTGTACTTCAGTGCCACCGCTGACGGGGCCACACCCTCACACCAAGCAGGTGGCCAGGCAACGCTGCCGATGTTAGGAAGAGGCAGCCCTGCCCAGCTGGCCTCAGCCCCGCCGGCCGCGAAGCCCTTTCCCGTCACCATGGCCCGCATCAGCCCCATCCTGCGCGGGGGCCCGGATGGAAGGCTGCACCCCCAGGCGAGCTTCTCCAGCACACCCCTGGCCGGCTCAGAGTGTGGGGAGCAGCAGGAGCCCACGAGGGACCTGAGTCACCCTGCCGCCGATGGCACGTCCACGTCCTGGCCGAGGGCGAGCCCGAGGCCTGCAGAGGAGCCCTGCCTCACGTCCACCCCCAAGTCCGAGTCCACCCACAGCGACTCTAGCTGGAAGGAGAGGCCGAGGACCGACCCGAGTTTCTTCATCTGACCAGTCACGGCGCGGGAGGAAGGCAGGCTGCAAGGTCGAGCTGGTCGCTGGGCTTCGAGTTGGGAGAAATCCCACCCCTGACACCTATGGCCTTGGTGCATCATGCCCCTCCCCCCACACACACACACACCTCCACCTGCACAGCCCAGAAAGGAGGGAGGCAGGTGTGATCGTCTGTGCTCCACTGTGATGTCACACGTGCTCAGGACATGCTCTCCAACAGCCCGGGGGCGGGGGGCGCGGGGGTACTTCCTCCCTTTCACAAACCGTATGATCCTTATGCTAGTTGTTGTTGTTGTTGTTGTCACTTCTGGGAAATGAGGGGGTACAACCCAGAGTCCTATTGTATACTGGCTCTCGTCACAGTTAGCTTCTCCTGACACTGCTGATTGTTCATCATCCCTCTTTATAAAAGCGTGTTCTAACTGTGTTATTTTGACAAATCTCAGAGTAAGATAATGCAAGCCCTTTCTGGAAGTGGATGAGAAACGTATGCTTGTAATCATCGACCTAACCGAGAACTCAGGTGTCACTCAGATTCCCTGATCTCTTCGGCAGAGCCTAAATGAGAGGTGGCATCTGTGACTTAGGCTCATCCGACAGGAGGGACATTAATGCCCCTCTTCCCTCATGCTCTGCCTCTTCCTAACTCCTCCCCTTACACGTGTCCTGTGTGGGTCAGTGTCTGCATCATGTCTGTAAGCCTTCCTTCACAGCTGGCTCGGGAAGTCTAATCAGAAACCACTGAGCAGGACCAGTCCACACAGGGGGTGCTGGGTCCCATTTGCTGGTAGCACTTCCTAACACCTCTGGGTTCAGGGACAATATTCGAGCCCCAAAGAGGACACGTAGAGTAACGTGCTGAGGGCGTGTGCGACATCCTCTGCAGTAAGTCTTAGCGTTAGGCTCTGCTGCCGGCCAAATAAGCCAATTCGAGCTAGCAGAGGGCAGCCGAAAACCTTCGCTACGGCTACGTGCAAAGTGAAGGCAGAAACTCCCCCAGTCACCCTCGCTGTAGGATTATAGCACGTGGGGTCCTCCTCCACCCGCCCGCGAACCTGGGGGGAGAGCGTGCGACATCCTCTGCAGTAAGTCTTAGCGTTAGGCTCTGCTGCCGGCCAAATAAGCCAATTCGAGCTAGCAGAGGGCAGCCGAAAACCTTCGCTACGGCTACGTGCAAAGTGAAGGCAGAAACTCCCCCAGTCACCCTCGCTGTAGGATTATAGCACGTGGGGTCCTCCTCCACCCGCCCGCGAACCTGGGCATCTTCCCGGATCCCCACAGACCCCCGCCCCTGGGCATCTGCAAGACGGAACTCAAGCGCCCCATCTTGGGAGCCTTCCCCAGTCTCCCCCCCACTTGCCCCCACCCCAGCTTGTCCTCCACAGTTCCCGGCCCTCTAGCGACCTCTTCCTGAACTTGAACGAGGTCTGACTTTGAGCTCTGTAACCCCAGGGCCTGGCACGCAGCGGGTTTGGGACGCCGTGGGACGGTGACTGCTCCAGCTGTGAATCCCAGCTGGAGAAACACCATGGATCGGGCGGCTTCAGCCACAGACATCTGGGGCCTGGGAAGGCCAAGGTCAAGGTGCTAGTGGCTCAGTTCCCAGTGAGAGCCTTGTCCTGGCTGGCAGATGGCCACCTTCTCCACGTGTCCTCCTACCGTGAGGGGGGAGAACGAAGCTCTCCGGTGTCACTTCTCGTAAGGACACGAACCTCCCCATGGGCCCCACCCAGGACCTCATCTACACCTGACCACCCCCCAGAGTCCGTGTCCCCTAAATACCATCAAGCTGCGAGTTAGGGCTTCACACACGGACATCAGGGGGACGCAGCTCAGTCTTAGCAGAGTGCGTCCTCTCAGAAGGGCCTTTGTGTCGCAGGGAAAGGTAGCGGTGGGACGCAGTGAGTCTGCTCACGCTTTTCAAACGTCCCAGCCCTTGAACGGGCTCAAAGACTAGAAATCCACTCCACTCGCTCGGTTCACTATGAGCCGTGTATACACCAGGCACTAAGCAGACGGAGCCTGAGGCGCAGACGGGCTGGTAAGGGGCCGGGGACCAGCGTGGCCCCTCCATCTCACGCCTCTAGGGAGCGGCCTCACGCGGGACATCGAAGTGCGTGTCACTCCCGTGGTGGCATCTGTCTTGTGTCTGCTGTCCCCCAGGCCTGGCTGCGTCACTTGATTGTTCTGAGGCTCCCACACTCCCTTCTCCTCCCGGAGAAGCAGCAAAAAGACTCTGCGGATCCCTGGTCACTGCAGACAGCACACACGTCGCCTTCGCTGCCATTGTCACTAAAGCAGGGGACCTCCAGAGCCGCCGGAAGTCAGGGCTGGCTCCCATCAGTGTCCCAGTGTTGGTGGCATCTCCTTGTGGCGGGCTGGTTCTTCAGCTGCCGGCCCTGGGGAGGCCTGGGCCGAAGGACGGCTGATGGCAAGTCCCCAGGAAGGCCCAGCCCGAACGGAGGTCCAGAAAGCCGGCCTGCAGGGCAGACACCAGACGGGCAACCTGAGCCCCCAAATCGGCCTCGAGGTCCTTCTTGCCTGCACCCTGCTCCTCATCCAGCAGGGAGAAGCGGTGTGTGCGGAGCGGCCAAGGGCCTGGGGGAAGAGAGTCCTGGGCAGAAAAGTGGGACCCGAGCAGCAGCTCCCAGGAGGACAGAAACGCCCACGAAACACCCCATTCTGCTCACGCCTCTGTCACTCCAGAGGACAGCGGAGCCTGGGACACGGCAGGCCGGGCAACGGTTTGCTTGGTTCTCACGATGCTCGGCCACGCCAAGCATGGGACTTCTCCATCCCTTCTGAGTCCTGTCCTGAGTCAGTTCTCAAGCCGCGTGCTCACTCCGCCTAGGTCTTCTGAGCACCAAGCAAGGATTTCATCTTAAACCCCACTCTGGTCTACGGCCACGCCACCCTGAACACGCCGACCCCGTCTGATCTCGGAAGCTAAGCAGGGGCGGGCCTGGTTAGTACTTGGATGGGAGATCACCTAGGAAGACCAGGTGCTGTAGGCGTAAAATAAACAAAATAAAATGAAATAAACCCCACTCTGGTTGCTCTCTTTAAAACAGACTGATGTTTTTCTATCTTCCTGAATTTGATTTATTTTCCATAGTATTTAGGATGACTGATTATCTCGTTTCCCCAGGACTGGGGGGGTTTCCTGGGCTGTGCGATTTTAGGGGTAAAACCAGATAGTACCGGGCCAGTTGGATGACTGGTCCCCCTAATACCTGTTAGCGCTATTCACTTTTTCCCACTTTATGTAGCCGCTGAGCCAGAGCAGAGAATGTTCCCCGGTTCAAAATCTGGAGACAATTCAAGATGCCTCAAATATACGCCTGCACCACCCAACCCCTACCCTCCCCCACCCCCAGCGTCAAGGTAACTAAAGTCCCCTGTGCTCTCAGGACCACCAAAGTGGACACGTCGTCAACACCAAGCCCCACCAGCGCTCCAAAGGCAAAGCCAGGATCCAGATTTTAAGTGTGTCTCAGGGAGGGATTCCCCCATGGGAAAATACCGTGGAAAAAACCATGGAAGCTTCGACCACACAGAAACATGCATCACGGCGAGGCCATAATTACGGCATGGCCCGTCAGGGTTTCCATTATAAATGGGGTCCACATCTCGGCGGGACGCAATTCTTTCCAGCTGGAGGAAGCCGTGGACAGCTTTTCTGCCCATTGGGGAATTTTCCGATTTGTTTACCAATGGGTAGGGAAAAGGTGGGGGAGGGCACAAGGGCGGGGGGTGGGGAGCTTGGGAGCGGAATAAACAGTATGGATTTTTGTCCTTATCATGTTCTCAAACTGAAGCTAAGACAACGCAGACCAACAAAACAATCCACAAGGGCAATTAAGGCCATCGTTCCGGCCTGAAAAATTTGAATTTAAAGGCAACGCTTTGTCTTTAACTTAATAAAGAGATGGAACGGTCCATAAAAGAATAGGCAGGCTCTTTTTCCAGACAATTCTGTGATGACACAGAAGTCACTTCATCTTTCTGCGTTGCAGGTGCCTCGTTGGTAAATCAGGGATTCCGCTAGCTGGCTGGGTTACAGAGTGCTAATGTACAGCCACAGAGGCGGTGGATGCGGGGCTACCCCAAGGGACAGGGTCTCCGTTTGTTCTCCCCACTCCCTGACGCTGAGGCCCAGCTGCCCTCCAGAGACGGTGGAGCTTGACTCTTCCTATGGGGCCAGGGGCCCATTGTTCCTAAGACCACAGGAGATGGGGCACCCCGCCAGCCCTGCTCTGGACCCCGGCTTGCCCCACAGCAGACGCGTGCTGGATTTCGATGGAGGTTTAAGTTTGCTTTCTCTAAAAAGTTTTACGGTACTTGCTCCAAAGTCTTCAAGTCATTTGGGGGCATCTTGCCACGGTCTTGTGACCTTATAAAGCACAAGGGGCACACACCTCAGGCATGGAGCCCTGCGGGGTAGAGGCAGAGAGCTTTGTCAGGCCTCAGAGAGTCAGTCACAGGGCAGTAAAATGGCCCTTAAGAGATGACTAACAAACCGAACAGGAATTCTGAAAATGCTAAGTCTCTGTCTTCTCCTCCTCTCTCCAGAACTTCTAGGAAGTGTGAAGGGAGAGGGATCAATTCTGGCGGTTGATGATATGTTTGCCTTGTTGGCCCCTGTGAAGCGAATGATAAAGAGAAGGTTTTACTTAGATACTCAGACCCCGCTTTGCGTTCTCAGACGTCTTAAGAATTTGGAGGTCAGTATTTTTCTCCCCTAGCAGTCAGGAAGTAATGTGATTAATCTGAGTAATGGAGTTAGGTGGACAAAGGTCTGAGCTGCATTCTGTAAGGTTATAACAACTTTCAGGACTTTGAGTCGTTTATTTTTTAAATAACTGTCAGCTGAAAGCTTAACTCTGGCCGAGTGTTGACTTGGGGTTGAAACGAATGGCCCGTCGCCTTCTTCTCCCACTTAATGATAACGCCGAGCCCTAATTCTAAGCTGTGAAGAGCCTGTTCTCCGTGGATGCGGGCGCCGCCCTGCCGCGTGC